GTAAGCAAACTCTATCAGGGGTAGGTGGTCGTCCCAATGGCCCCCGGAGTCAAGGACACAAGCTCGGAGCATATCCTCCAGCGTACGAATTGTCCTCTCTGATTGTCCATCGGTTTGGGGGTGGAAGGCAGTACTAAGAGACAGCTTTATTCCTATAGCTTGCTGGAAACTATTCCAAAACCGAGAAGTGAATCTGGGATCCCTGTCGGATATCACTGTTACTGGAACTCCATGTAGTCTGACTACCTCCCGGATATACATTCTTGCCAACTTGTCCAAGGGATCAGTCATTCTGATGGCCAGAAAGTGGGAAGACTTAGTGAGTCGGTCAACAATTACCCATATAGCATCATGTCCCGATCGTGCCTTGGGTAGTCCCGATACGAAGTCCATGGTGATATGTTCCCACTTCCACTTTGAAATCGGTAAAGGCTGAAGTAACCCGCCCGGGCGTTGATGTTCTGCTTTAACCTGCTGACATACCAAGCATTTAGATACAAAGTCGGCTATATCTCTCTTCATCCCATTCCACCAGAACCGAGGTCGCATAGTTTGGTACATTTTCGTACTTCCTGGATGCATGGCGAACCTTGAACTATGGGACTCTGTCATGATGTCTCTTCTTAACTCACTGTCGTCTGGGACGCACACTCTGTCCCTGAAATGAATCAATCCGTCGGCGGAGATCTGAAATTCTGAGTTCACTCCCTGTCCTGCATCCTTCTTGCGGGTTACTAGGGCGGGGTCGATTGACTGGGCTTCCTTTATTCTTTGGATTAACTCGGGTTGGACTGCTAGGTGGCTCAAACATGTGGCCCTCTTCAGATCTCGCAGTCGAACCTGCTGCGTGGCCCCAATGGACCTGCATTCTGAAACCATCAGATGGGCTAGGGTGCCTGCACTTTTCCTGCTGAGGGCATCGGCTACTACGTTGCCCTTACCTGGATGGTATAGGATGTCACAATCATAGTCCTTGAGGAGTTCCATCCACCTTCTCTGACGCATGTTGAGATCCTTCTGAGTGAAGATGTGCTTCAAACTCTTATGATCGGTGTAGATCTGAAAGGTCTCTCCATACAAATAATGGCGCCAGATTTTCAGGGCGTGTATGATTGCGGCAAGCTCCAAGTCATGGGTAGGATAGTTCTTCTCATGATTCTTTAGCTGTCTAGACCCATATGCTATAACCTTTCCATGCTGCATCAGGACACAACCCAGGCCCAGATAGGAGGCATCACTATAAACTGTATACCCTCCTGATCCACTCGGTAGAGCCAGCACGAGTGCAGTAGTCAGTCGCTTCTTCAATTCTGAAAACTCTTTCGCAGTTCTCATTCCAATCAAACTTTGCATTCTTCTTGTGAGTCGGGTTAGAGGGGCCGCTAGACTGGAGAACCTTTCGACAAACCGGCGGTAATAACCCGCCATCCCTAGGAAA